TAATTAGAAGAAAGACCATTAAAAATGGAATATAAATGTAGATTCTACCTGTTTTAATTTACCTATTTTATCTGACAATTTAGAAATTGCATAAAACAACTGTAGATTATTTACAAATTCTTTACTATTATTAAATCCATATCTTTTGTACTTAATAAAATTCTAGATGTTCTATTTACAAAAAAAAATTACTGTCATTAAATGTTTTGGATTATTAAAAATAATATTCCAGTTTTGGAATGTTTAAAATCTTTAAATTATTTGGAAGCAGCTATTTCTTCTACCACTTATGATTTTAATACATGATATATCAAAATAGATTTGAAAGATTTAATTGGAGTTTTTAATGATTTAATAGATTAATTTGTAGATACAGAAATGGTTATTCCCAAATACAAATTATATATATATAATTATTACATTATTTTTAATGAGTAGTATTAAACAAATATTTATTATTCCAGTGCAAGCTAATTCCTCCTCATACATGAATAACTTGTCTCTGTAATTCTATGAAATTATACAATTACTCCTTTCATTACACTGATGGTCTAATTTCTATCAGTAATTTAAATTTTGATCCAAATCAAATATAGACATTGTTTTAATGGAAGTTAATTAACTATTTTTGTCAAAAGAAGAGATTTTAGTTTTCCCATCCTTGGTCTACCTACCCCTAACAGTGTAGTCTCGAATATACACTATTAAAAGGAATTGTTATTTCTCAGTTTAAAATATATTTGACTATTTCTAACAATAGCAATTCTTTTATAGATAATGTTCAATTATTGGCAAATATAAACTTGTACATTTGTTATGACAAGTATGATAATATATTAAAAAGATGAATTTCTGATTACTGAAATTTCCTTTTTGAACTCATGAAGAGGATGCTAGTTACTCAAGGTCATTTTAAGTTTATAAACAACTAGCCATAAAATTTCTAGGTATTTGTTCATATACTGGGACAGAAAGACTTAACTTCAGGTAGCTGGGCTTCTCTCAGATTACCCGGTTTATAGTTGAACAAGTTTTATAATGAAAAAGGGAGAAGGAGGGGAGTGTAAGTAATTATTACAGAACTATTAAGGTAAGGGTTTTTTACCAATAGTTACCAATATGTAGGACATACACAAACAACTCTTAGAGAACGTTTCAACAACCATAAATCTTCTATTAACACTAAAATGAGCTTCCTATTGTTCAACACTTTAACCAACTTGGTCATTCCATTAACGATGTTACTCTCATCGGCATTAAATCAGGATTCAAAACTAAAGCAGATAGAGAAATAAAAGAAGCTTATTGAATTGCTAATCTAAATACTCTTCAACCTTTCAAAATTAATCTAGATCCTGGAATCAGTTATCTCCGTTCATTGGTTTCATCTCTTATTAATTTTTATTCTTTGCTTATTTTTTCATCTAATGTGAATGCTGAATTTCCTTATTACTATTTATTTAAGATAATTTTCCATACCTGTTTTGATAAATTGAATAGCATAACATATCATTTTCAGTCAGTCTCCAGGTGTCACCTTTACTTAAACACTTAAGTAACGTTTTAAATAAACATATATTTATCCATTTCTAAAGTAAAATATCCCTAACACCTTTTCACATACACTCTTTCCATTGGCTACATTGTACTAGAAATGAGATGCTAACAACAAACAGTACATAGAGAAATAGACTAAACATTTCCTGGGAAACTGGATGACATTCATAACATCACTAGACTCCCTTTATATATATATATTACTCATCTGATTACACCACCATTCCCAGTTTGCTCCTGAAGAAAAAAGGTACACTTTTTAAAAGTGCTCGAGTTATAGGGTTTTTATTCATTTCCATACATATGTTGGGAGATATATAAAGCTCTGAACGAATCTGATATCAGTGGCTGCAGTGTTAAGCCTAATTAATTATATTTGTCATATAACATTGTTAGGTCTGATTTATACACACACACACACACACACACACACACACACACACACACACACACACACACACACACACAACATTTAATCTTGCCCCTTAGGGATTTTCAAGAAAAGCTCTGGATTGAGCAAAATGTATTATTGGCAATGGATATGTTAATATGTTATAAAGTGGTTGAAATACTATTATTATACAGTTCTAACTCTTGAAAAATCCTTAAGGGACTAGATTAAAAATGTACTGTTAAAAACAATAATAGGCCTAATATAATGTTGTATGACAAGTATAGTTAATTATAATCATGCTTCTCCAGCTTTTAAAAGGCGTTTACACCATAACAATTGAAGTTAACGTGTGATACCCACCCAAAACCTTTTAGTAGAAGAAATACTTTAAGCCAAATGGTCTGACAAACCAATTTACTTATCTAGTAAGTGACACCTAGTGATGCTTTCAAAACTGGGTATTAGAAGCAAATAATAAAACTTGGTAATATTGCTCTTACATTCCTATTCAACAGGGTGATTATACCAGTACCCTTTAAGTGTCTATAAACAAATGAAAAAAATTCACACACACACACCTTATAACATCAAATTGTTGTTTTTGTTTAATTAGACATCCAACGTTTTGCTTTACAGCTTCTTCAGGAGTATTCAGTAAAACATAAACTGACACTAACAGTACAAAGCTTCAAATAGTTTAAATAATAAACTCTATTCGAATCTATAATGTGCATTTCTACAGTGTGATTTTGACATATTAAGTACTAAAGCTTAAACTTAAACCTTCTAATAACGGCATCCCAGAATTATGTGTACCACAGGAACATAAACCGGATATGTCACTAAGACCCACAGTTTCAGTACATGGCAGTGCTACTGAAATTCTGTCTTGTCTTGTGCATACAATTTTGGTGCCATTACTGAACTATGTTCCAGCCCTCTTAAATAATACAAGACCTTCTGTCGTGAATCAAGGATGTACCTCATTTAGTGACCAACACAATAATACTCTCTACATTGAATGTTGTAGCTCTCTACCATCAAGATAAATAGAGGATGACATCAGTGCAATGTGTGAATTCATGTTTAATCACATAAACAATTTGGAGATGTACAGACTGATTACGGACACTGTCAGAGAAATCTTACATTTCGTTCTTCACGATAGATATTTTTGTTTTAACAACAAACTGTATCTCCAACTCATTGATTTCTCAGTGAGTATTAGAGTTGCTGTTATTTATGCCATAATATTCATGCATGTTTTTGAAACAACATCACTTGACAAGTGGCATCAAGATATCAACAAATGAGTATCGCACTTCCAATTTGAGAAAACAGACAAACAAGGAGGGAAAACAAAATTTATGACACCTCTAATTGATGAAGCTATCTCCAAGAAAATAAAAACTATAATCAGGAAATCTGAACTGCTGATTAAAGTTATAGAATCGCCAGGTCCAACCCTAAAAAGCTAACGTTCTGAATCTCAATACATTACCCTACAATGTAATAAAGCCAACTGTATTACAAAAACATTTTTTGCAGTCTAAAGATGAGTGTCTTGTCTCTAATGTTGTTTACCATTTTGCGTGTATCATCTGCCATCATACGTAGTAGAAACCGGAAGAACTCTACACACAATGATAGAAGAACATACTGACACTCTTTATAAATAACAACATGAAAGAAGTGCTGTTGCAGATCATTTTATAACTAATCATGGACAAGTAAAGTAACACCTGACTTCAGACCACCATTCTATGTACAAATCATCACCAAAGCCACCAAGTACGCTGACAGAAAATTCAAAGAAGCTCTTTTCATTGTAAACTTCAACCAGAGATATGAATAGGGACAAAGGATGATGCCTATTATTCAAATTATTTTATTTTCTATCATATCTTTTTGTTATTTCACAATCACTTGGTGAACATGCAGCTCACATTAAGCTATCAAATTACTTTACTCATGAGCTACTCGAAGCTGCTTATATGTGTGCCTTGTAAAACTTTATTATATTATTACTTATATTTCCTAATCTACATTTAAGCCAACTTTTTTATACTAATGGTAATACTGCACTAAATAATTTTTATTTGTTTAAATAATGCACCAAAGAATGTGGAATGATAACATGCAAAAAGCAGACAATATCCCATAACTACCACAAGTTTTCTGGCTTTCTTCGTGTGTGATAAGAGCCGTTACAAATTCATATGAGCTACTCAATGTGTTTTCATTGGGAGTGAATCTTGTAATAAAGGAGAAATTGACAGTTCTCTGTACAGAAAACAATGTAATATAATGTAATTTGATTGATGAAAACCTTGGCTTTCTATTGGTTATAAATAATATAGTATTTAACATTGGAGAGAACTATTGACAAATCCTGAAAGGGAGGATGTGACAGGTAAGTGTAGCACTAGGAGTCTGATTTTCTAATTGATGGTTCTGTAACCAAACAAGATTGAAGGTTATGAAAATCTTGCTTTCCTGAGTAATGACAACATTATAATGAATAATTTATATTAAATTCCATACTTCTTGGAGAGTTAGTAAATAAATTAAAGAGGGGATGCCTAGAGGGCAAAGGTCATAATTTCCACATTAGAAGAAATTCAGAATTTTTTTTAATATTTCCTTATAAAATTAGATGTTATAACTTGTATACTATTAAAATATGGATTATTAGCTACAATTTTATGCTATGTTAATTGGTATAACATGAACAAAAAGTAGTTTAATTAAGTTTTGAATGTAACCTACTAAAAACCTTGAGACACAGACAGTAAAAGATGCCCATGGAGAGAGGGTTAAGAAGCTTCCCAAGCACATATGTACTTCCCTACTCCTAATTTCATTTTTGAGTGGTTTAATAAAGTTTAAAAGCTCCTATGCATATGCACACATTGTCCTTTTAGACAAATATATATAATAGGTCATCAAGAAATTGTTTGTTTTTTTATGAAAAAAAACTAACAACTTGTATATCAGAACAAAACATTTATTAAATGAAATGTCTCCATTTTTATCGATGGTGCTTTTCCATCTTTCAGTTAGGTTGTTAATGCCCTGATTAAAGAAGTCACTTGGCTTTGAAGCAAAAAACATGTTGATGTCCTCTTTAACACCTTCCACATTTGCATACGTTTTACCATTAAGATGGTGTTGCAGCGAATGAAAAAGATGGTAATCTGATGGTGCCATATCTGGAGAATATGGTGGGTGGGGGGAGAACTTCCCAACCAAACTCCATGATCTTGTGTTGCATCAAATGTGCCACACGTGGACGTGCATTGTTGTGGAGAACAACAACACCTTTCCAATTAACACGTAAAGGGTTTTTCTGATGAAAGGTTTGATTTAAATGTTCCAGTTGCTGACTATAGATCTCTGCATTGACAGTTTGCTGTGGATTGAGACGTTCGAAATGAATTACTCTTTTGATATCCTACCAAATGCAAAGCATCACTTTCTGCAGATGGAGTCCAGGTTTTGGGGTTGGAACTGGTTTTTGGCATTTAATATTTGCACAGGGAATCCATGTTTCATAACTGGTGACAGTTCTGTCCAAAAATGGTTTATGCACTTTACGTGCCAGAAGAGATGAAGCAATGCTCACACGTTGGAAACGGTGATCATCAGAGAGTTTGTGAGGCACCCAAAAAATTTCTATATGGAGTTTTCCCATATTCCTTAGCTGTTTACTTATTGTTTCAGGAGAGACATGCAATTTCAGGGACATTTCACGAGTGTATTGCCTTGGGTTACACTCAACAAGCATCTTCAGAACGTCAATATCAATTCCAACATGTTGGCCCCTGCCATCACAGTTTTTAAGGCTAATGTCACTTGAATGAAATTTGCTGAACCATCATTGACACTTACAAATGTTCAAAACATTTCCATGAACTTCTTTGATATTCTTTGTGGCTTCAGAGGCATTGTTTCCCTTCTTGTATTGAAACAGCATTACATGCCGAATGTGTGTGTCTTATCGTGTGCCATCGCTATGAGGGATTAGAGTATACTAAACTTTACACATTATATAGACTACATTAATGTGATGTTTAAGTGGTTTGTTTAACTATTATGTGTGATGTATGTTTTTTGGGGGGTGGTTAATGAAAGTGTAGCAAAATGCAACATTAATATCTTCACGACCTAATATATATATATCATTGCAGTGACATAAAATAATGTGTATTGTTGATTTTTATTAAACCCTGCCTGTTTTTGTTGTTGGGTGATGATTTGGATCACTGTCATCTAACTAATAAGAGGTTGCAAAAGCTATTTATAAAGGAATATGTTGAGGTTCTTAGTTGAAGTGATGTGTAACCTATGGAATTTCTCAAAGATTTATCTAACCAAGTTTGAAATATATGTTTGATATTGAATTAGTTTTGGCCCTAAACATTTCACCCTCATTTTAAAGCTTAATTATTTTCAGCAAGTGGGCTGAAGAACTACTGAAGTTTCTGACTGCCTCTGGTTATCAGGACCTGAAAGCTTTAAAACCAAAATATCTACCAGGCTTTTTTAATTTAATTTTCTTAATTTTTACGAGCTTGGCCAAGTAATGAGTAATTTTGTGTATTCACTATTGAAGATTTAGTTGTACATGTAGTTCAGTATTGTGTGGTTTTGCTTAGAACAATGTATTATTAAAGCTCTGGTTGAGATTTATAAAAGGTTGAGGTATAAATATTGCTTGGAACAATCATTACGAAAGCTTTAGTTTAGATATACATAGTTTATTGATGTTTGACAGTTAGTGAGACTGTTTTTGATCAGTCATTATTAAAACTTGTATTTAGATTTACAGTTTATTGGTACTTGACTGTTATTGAGACAGTCTCTGATCATTCATTATTAAAATTTTAATTTAGATGTACATAGTTTTTTTGATATGTGATTGTTATTAAGACAGTCTTTGATCAGTCATTAGCAAAGTTTTAGCCTAGATCTTCACAGTTTATTGATGTTTGCTTATTATTGAGACAGTCTTTGATCAATCATTATTTAAACTTTAGATCTATTTTTTGTTTAGTTTTGATGGTTATTGGGACAGTCTTTGAGCAGTTATTACCAGAGCTTTAGTCTAGACCTACATAAAGTTTGTTTTTGACTGGTGTTGGGACAGTTTTTGATTAGTCATTATCAAAGCTTTAGTTTAAATATACATATATTAAAGTGTGAGTATTATTGAAGAAATTTGTGAAATTTTTGTGTGTATTTCAGCATTTGGGAGAAATGATTCCAGAAAACCAAGACTTTTCGGAAATGATATGCTCTTGGTGCATGGAGAAACTTCCATTTCTTTGGTCCTATAGTGTTCAGTGTGCAGGTGAGAAAATACTAGGTTTGTCAGTCAAAACTTTTTATTTTTATGTTTTGGGGATTTTTCCTGCATTTGTATAAATGGAAGTAGCTAGAGGGGTTTGAATAATACTGCTAATCTTAACTAAGTATCTGAACTTGAAAGTAACATTCTAATCATATGTAGCCATGACAACAACGAGTATAACTGCAGTTGAGTGTCTAGATATATTGATGACATCTTCATCAACCCAAATAGATCTGTATCTGAGATCCTTATCAACGTAGCTAGACCTATTTCTGAAATTTCTCTCCATTAACATATTTAGACGTATAGCTGACATCAACAATGTAGCAAGACCTATAGCTGACATCAACAATGTAGCAAGACCTATAGCTGACATCAAAAATATGGCTAGAACTGTAGCTGACATCTTTATTCATCAAAGACTGAGACCTATAGCTGACACCAACAATGTAATTAGATCTGTATCTGACATCTCTATTCATCAGTACACCTGGACTCTATAGCTGATATCAACAACAATGCTAGAACTGTAGATGACATTTCTATTCATCAATACACTAACACCTATTCTCTGACACCAATTTGTTACGTATCTGGTCATTTCTTAATTTCCGGTATACATTCTTTCCGAGGATCTTCAGCGATACAAGTCCTTTCTTATATAAAACTAGTTTATTCTTTCTCAATACAACTTTGTAATACATAGAATTTCCACAGTCACTTTAAACTTAACAACCTTTATAACACATGCTATAAATCACAGTGATTCGCACACTTTACTTATGGTGCCTTCTGTTCATTTGACTGAATTATCTATCTCTTCAATCTATCTATATCTCTTCTTGATTTGCTGGGCTTATATAATAAAAAAGAGAGCATCCAGAAGAAACTAGGAAATTCACGATCATTCGAGAAACTCCTTGCACACGCCACCAGCGCCAGTGCGCCAGCAGCATTACGTGACTTCCGCTATCGTAACAATAGAGTAATGTGAGCTCCACATTGACCAAGTGATTTACAAATTTTATAGTGGGAATATTAGTTTAGATGCAGTTCAAAGGGCAATGAAACAAAATATAAACAGATATATACTACTGCGATATTTAATCTATTTATGATAAACAAAGGTTGTTTCAATTTATAATTTGAAATCATTCCAGAAAGAAAAAAAGGATAACTTAGGTTTATTTTGATTTTTTTTTGTGGTTACGAGGTCAGTTAAATTCACCAACCTCGTATAGATTTTGGGTAGAGAAAACAACAGGTAAGATATAAAGTTGTACTGAAAAAAAGATGTTTGGAATATATTTAGGTTTTAGAGAATACGCAAATGAAATTTTAGATTTTTCAGATGAAGAAAAGTATTTTTAATGTTAAGATGAATATCACTTTGCACTCAGAGCAGTCAACAATTTGTCTCAATGTATTCATGGAGAAATGTGTAATGAAAGTACTTCATTAAAAATTTTTTGTTTACAAGTGACATGATTAAGCTTGATCAAATTGACAAAACCCACATCATGAAAGTTAAACTTAAATTATGTTAATGCATGTTAATACGAAAATAAAAAAACTTTTAGTTTTAACGTGTGTGTGTGTGTGTGTGTGTGTGTATATATATATATATATATATATATATATATATATCTTTTTCGTACGTACTACGTCCGTCGTTCGGTACCGTACGTCGACGTACGT